CACAAGAAATCAAGAGTACTATATCGTAAATACCAGGGAACAGAATAGCCCATAAAAAGGAGAATTCAAAGTAACAGACAGAGATAGAAAACTGACAAATATTTGGTGATCTGATCTATTTGATAATGTTGTTTCTTCTTTAAAAACAGACTTGAGTTGTGTTTTGTTTCACATTTAACACACAAATCTGGCATATTTAAGACGATTTTTTCTCTCAAACTGAAAACACTCCACCTTGTCATGTCACGTGGTAATACAGGAAGTGCTCCACTGTGTTTTTAAACTGCATACACCTTCAGTGAAGTCATTTGGATCATTTCAGCTCTGGATTTGCCAAAAAATCTACTGAACAAACGGTAAAAGGAGCTGTTCAGAACATTTTGAGCTTTGGAGATGTGAACAGACTAATAATAAGAAACAAAACACAGCTCTAAGTATGTTTTTAAAGAGGAAACAACATTATAACATAGAGATGTCAGATCACAGATGCTTCGTTTACTCTGATGAAGACCAAAGGACTGAAACATTGGCGTGATTTTAACTTTATCTGCCATGTGGTATTAAAGACTTTTCATTATTTTGTACTTTTTGAGTGCCTCAGTTTTTTCAACTTTGTATTTTGAGACTGATCCCTACACTGAAGAGCACCAAAACGACAATTCTGCACAATTTTTGTATATCAAAGTAGCACTCCTGCCCCCCAAAGTTTTGCACAAATCTAAGTAAGTTTTTGGTGAGTAAACAACATTTTAACTTGACTTAAAACTCACAACAGTCAATTTTGTAATCAGGGTGAAAAGAAAATGATCTAGTGCCCCAAAAGGGAGTAAATATAAAAATAACTTATGTTGAAAAGTGAAAAAAATCTGCACATAAACAAGAGTATAATGAATTTGGAACTGTTGCTACGGAAGCCCTGGAGGGTCATGTGATTGTCTTGGACTATGTGTAAAGTGCAAAGATTGATACAGAAGTTATTTTAATCAAATGAAACAGGAAACGCACCAAAGTTCTTGCAGAGGTGCAAATGCAAAGAGCAGTAATTTTAAAAAGTGAAAAAATGTATAGAACAGTCAGAAGCGATGGTCTGTGTACCAGTCGTTCTTTTGAATTTCAGTTAAGAACAAAAAACAGTAAAATGGGAAATGGGTTTGTTATTTCATTATTCTGCTTTAGTGTAAAAAAAAAAACCCCAAAACAAAACAAAACAAAACAAAAAAAACACAGATTTCGAAGATATAATTTAAAGTTTATTTTACACCAATCAAAAAGTCTCAGTGCCTATTTCAGGTTTTATATTTTATTTTCTTTGGTTTATATGCCCCGGTTATGCTGCTAAAAGAGAATAAAATATCAAAATTGCAAAATTGAAATAGGCACAATGACTGTTTTTTGATTGGTCAAAATTTGTCAGAATAATGAAATAACAAACCATTTTCCCATTTAATTGTTTTTCGTTCTTAATTGAAATTCGAAAGAATTAACGGTACACGGACCAACGTCCAAAAGCTTTTGTTATTTTAAAATTACGTAAATAAAAGTTTGGATATTGGCTATCTGAGTATGCTATGCATTTTTTCACTTTTTTCAATTGCTGTTACTTGCACTTGCACCTCTACAAGAACTTTGGTGCGTTTTCTGTTTCATTTGAGTTAAAAGAATGAGAACTTCGCACATCAATTACAAGAGATGGATGCGTCGGAGGAGAGGGAGCAGCCCAAGAACATAGAGAAAAATCCCGCACTCCGTCTTACTTGCAAATTGTGAGATTTATTAGGACAAACCGTGCAATGTTTCGGCACTCGGTCTTCGTCAGAGCTCAGGTGACCATCTATTTAAGATGAGAAGATATTTAAGATTTTTCTCTGTTTCATTTGATTAAAATAACTTCTGTATCATTCTTTGCACTTTACACGTAGTTCACGCCAATCACATGTCCCCACTAAGTTTCCGTAGCAACAATTCCAAACTCATTATACCCTTGTTTTTGTGCAGAATTCTCTTTGAAAATATTACAAATAAAGGAGAAAAGCAAATTAACTTTGCATTGTTAGGTTGTCAACAATTTCGAAAACACCTATGTATGGCAGCTATTGTGAGCAGAGACAAAAAATCTAAATAAATAAATAAATCGAAAGAAGAAATCACAGGTTGTCTATTAAAACTGCTCAAATTACCCAGTTTATTTAAGGCTTTGTGCACAATATTTATGTCATTAAGTGTCACTATGCATATTCATAGAGAGGATTTTCTGTAAACATATTATAGACTATTTTTATGTATTGTCATTATTCACCTTCTAGCTTACTTTTGCCTGTACCGGTTGCCACAGAGACCAATGAATTGAATATTGTAGCTGAACAATGTGGTTTTATGACACATAACTGTTCCTTTGGTTTGGGGATGAGTCACTGCCGCTCTCAAGGTGAACACGTTGAACCGTAGTAGGTTTATACTCACAACTCTAACATGAACTCGCACTCAATTGTGAATCATTTCTAAAAAAGTGTTTCTGGAGGTTGGACATCGATGTTTGGTCGATTTTTGGGGGTAAATACACGTCCCAGATGAGTTTGGCTGCTCCAGAATCGCAAAATTGGTATTATGGTAACAATTACAAAGCGAACAACCATAGACTAATGAGAAATTTCACGTTTACAGTTTGTGTGTGTGTAAAAGTAAGAAGCATATTTTTTGGTCTAAATGTTGCTCTGGAGTATAAGTCGTACCAGCCAAAAAATGCACAATGAAAATGAAAAAACATATATAAGTCACACCGGACTTTAAGTAGCACTTTTTGGAGAAATTTATTTTATAAAATTAGAGACCAGGAACCGACATTTCATCTTGAAAGGCAAGTCATAGTAATAACAATAGAACAGAGAACAACAGACTGAATAGGAGTTAATATGTTAATGTAACATATGCACAGTTATTTAGATAATTATAGCATAAACAACAGAACATAAGTTTACCAAACTCACAATCTCACTAAAAATCACTAAATCAATTGAATTCTTCATCCTCGGTGTCATTTCTGCTCGACCTCCGGAGATAAATCATAGATCCATGAGGCTTCTGTGTAGCTGTCGTCAGACTCAGCACCAGTTCCAGTTAGAATTATTCCAGCCTTTCTGAATCTCAACAGGATGGTTTCGATCGTCATTGAAGTTCAGGCTTTGTCTATTCATCCAGTGACTTCTAGGAAAGTTACATGTCGCACCTGCTCTGTTCCCATGAAGCTGTGTTCTCCATCCTCGCTTTCTGCCAGTCCCTCACAAGTTTCTCACTCACTCCAAACTTTCTTTCTGCTACTGGATTACTGTTTTTGGCTCAGTATTTCACTATTTTCGGCAAGACAGCGACTTTTTCTACAGGAGGCATGCGCAATAGAGCGAAGTGACAGAGGTACAGGAGTAATAGTAGTACTACATTCTGACATACAAGACTAGCACCCTCTTGCGGCTGTCAGTCTGATAATTTTAATATATAAATCGCACCGGAGTATAAGTCGCAGGACCACCCAAACCATGAAAAAAAGTGCAACTTATTATCCGAAATATACGGTAAAATTTTTTTAGAGCAGGGGTGTCCAAACTTTTTTCACCAACCGTATTTGTAGTGTACTGCCCCAGACTGGTCATCAATACAGTGAGACTTTAAAAGGGCCCATATAATGCTTTCTTCTGCTCAATCTTATAATGTTGTTTCTTCATCACAAACATACCTGGAGTTAAGGGCCATATCTCAATATTTAAAATATAACAAGACATTTTTTAAACTCGAAATGGATTCTGACATATTGTATTTATCGATATAATGCTTATATTTAATTTTGATTTCGCCGCTTTGCTTGTTTGCCTTCTCTGTGCTCGTCCCCACACGCCCTCGCCTCCTTGCTATGAACTGCAGGTGTCGACTGCCGTGAGTGCCGAAAGTTGCTGCCAATCAAAGCTTCTAGCACCACAAACCTCTTCCACCTTTACAGACAAAACCATCAGCAGCACATCCTCTATCACATAAAGAACACACATATTCCACTGAGTCGTGTCCTTTAGTCTGACAGCACTTACAGTTGCAAATTATCCATGTGCTTTTAAGTTTTGTTTCTGTAAAATGTAAACAAATGTGCGCAAAGCTGCATTAAACACAGACAGGCTGATGTGGCTCTGTAGTGGTTTTGGCTTATAATGTTGTAGTAATGTAAAGTTTATTTATGCAGAAGATTTTAATTAATAACCTACTGCAGTGTAAATTGTACAATAGTGTTTGGAAACGTTCAGTTTGATCTGCGCAGTGGATTGTGGGAGACCTCATAGCTCCTACGCTGGTGAGGAACATGGATTTATTAAAATAAGGAACCTCCCGAGCTTCCTCTGCTAAAGGAGCTCATGGTTCTAGTTATAGTATGGATGAACGAGTTGAGTTGTTTTATTTTTGAATGAAAAGAAGGAAATATATTTTATTTCTTCCTTTATTTAACAGTTAAATTATAATTTTTGTATACACAGATTTTTTTTTTTGATGTTGCAGAAGCACTTTGTTCCTCCCTGAACTGCCTCTTTGCACTTCAGTAAAAAAATACCTTGTGGAATTTGGCATATTTGTTTTTGCAGTAATTTTTCAGGGGTTATTTTTCCTGTACAGATATCGAGATGTATATCGTATATCGAAATATAGCAAAAATATATCGAGATGTATTTTTTGCTCCATATCGCCCAGCCCTACCTGGAGTTGTTTTGTTTGTTTTTTTTAATTCACACGTTTAACACACAAACTCTGCATATTTACGCTGTGTTCTTGTCTGGAACAGAGCATTTTAAACTTTTGTGATGTAAACAAGATTAATAATCAGAAAGGGTTACTCAAACATGTGTGAAAGGAAGTTTAAGAAAGATACCAACTTATATCAGAATGAGAGGGAACGTTTCATGCTGAATATGCTCCAAATCCACCTCTATTCATTTATCCAACCTTTGCTTTTTCGCGTCTTTTCCCAGGGGGCCTGAGCTGTTTCCGGATGAGCCACGAGGACCTGTGTGAGCACTCCCTGCACCTGCATGACGGCCTGGACCCGTGTGCCTCCTCCTCCTCCACGGGCCTGACGGGGGCGCTACCTCACTCCCTGCCCCTGGCCCTGCCCTCCACGCCGGACTTCGAGAACGCCGAGCTCACCCCCATCCTGCCCTCCCTGTACCTGGGAAACGAGCAGGACGCCCAGGACCTGCGGCTGCTCCAGAGGCTAAACGTGGGCTACATCCTGAACGTGACCACCCACCTGCCCCTGTACCACTACGACACAGGGCTCTTTGTCTACAAGCGCCTGCCCGCCACCGACAGCAACAAGCAGAACCTGCGCCAGTACTTCGAGGAGGCCTTCGAGTTCATAGGTATGGAGAAGATACACTATTTGTGAAGTAATTAAAGGACCCATTTTACACTATTTTTATGTTATAACGAGGGATGGGCATGATCAATTACTGATGCTTCAGTAACTGATCATTAAGAATTTCGTTGATCACATTCAAAATCAACAAACTGAATGTAGGTTGCTGTGCGTAGTGTAAGGAGACGAGGCTGCGTCTGACAGCACAAACACTGGAGTTGCGGCCTCACTTTCCCACGTTTCAGCTCTGGCACCTCCGTGGAGATCACTGTACCATTCAGTGAGTGTGTTTACAGCACATCAGTGTCCCGGGTATGATCGGGTTTTTTGAGTATCCCGGTTTTGTCATGGTACATGTACACACAGTATCCCGGTCACTGCAACATAAAGTTGAGTGCACTTGCGTCCAAAACACTTTTCAGTCTTTTCATCACAACAGAAGCCAAAATAAATAAAGTGACCAACATAAATAAAGTGAAATGATGTTAAATAAAGAGCTGCGCTAAACCTGCACACGTCCAATCTCTGAAAACATGAACCATCTCCAACGTGACACACACACAGAACAGACTCACCATGATCATAGAGAGAACACTCATATTCCACTGAGTCGTGTCCTTTAGTCCGACAGAAGCTGAACCACAACAGCACACCAGGAAAGAGCTGTTTTTTTCAGCGCTTATAGTTTATGCAAATTAGCCAGGTGGTTTTAAGTTTCATTTCTGTAAACCGTAAACAAACGTGCTCAAAGCTGCATTAAACACATTATAATCTCAAACGGGCTGATGTGGCTCTATCGTGGTTTTGGTTTATATGTTGTAAAGTTGAGTTTATTTATGCAGATTAGTAATAGTAATAATAATGATGATCATTTTAATATAAAAACGTTAAAGATTAATCAAAACAAATTAATCGATCGTTAAGAAAATTTTATCGAATGCCCATCCCTCGTTATAAGGTTGTTTCCTCATCACAAAAATACCTGGAGTTGTGTTTTGTTTCAGTCACATGTTTAACACACAAACCGTGCATATTCAGGCTGAGTTCTTCTCTCAAAATACACTCTGTTCCACTTTGTGATGTCATGTGGTAATACAAGGAATCCTCCACTGTGTTTTTAAACTCCATACACCTTCAGTAGAATCATGTGGTTGATTTCAGGCTTCGAAAATGGCCAATTTCTACTGAACAAAAGGTAAAAGTTAGTTGTTAACTTGAAAACAGAACTTGGAACAGAGCATTTTGAGCTTTGGAAATGTAGACAGACTAACATTGCCCTTTTTTATTTTCTTCTTTTTTTTTTTTTCTAAATGACGGTTGCTCAATGCCCACTTTTTTCTCATGCGCCTATATGAAAAGACGAGGGCAGAGGGTTTAAAATGACACAATATTTATACCACAGTTAATTTAATCACAGTTGCTCACCACAAACAAAACGATAGTTCAGTGAGCGCACTCGTATATCGTCTCCTTATTTAGAAACTTACACGGGTTCAAAATGAGTCACTGTGGAAACCCAAAAAAATGTAAAAGAAATAAGACACCCCTGACCTAAGATAACACCACGGTTCTCACAACTTGGCTAATTCTGAGTAAATAAATGCGTCGTGTGCGTTTGATTAGAGCTGCTTCTCTGAGTATGATCTGGGTAAGGACCTTGAAAACAGCGGTGACTCATTCTCAAGCCAAAGTAATAGGCCACGTTCAAATACAATTTTCATTCATTCATCTCCAGGGAAACCAGTAAACTCAAATTCACCACTGAGCCACTGAACAGTCGCTAAGGATATTACGAAAACTAGGTTGTCCTGATTATAATGAATAGGAAAATTGGTCTTTAATTTAATAGATCTGAGCAAAATTGGACTATTTACCCACGTCAATAATGAAATGAGGTTTTAAAAGCTGTAACAGTGGTTTCTTACAGTGGCATAGTGTTCACACCTCACTGTTACACAATCCCAAGTTCAAGTTTAATGGATTTACTCAGGAAAAGCATTAAGATCTCCATGGAGACAACGTGGCGTTCCCTCCAACAGAAAATGGATGTGTATATTAAGGGTGCGCTATGTAACTCTTCAGGGGCAGGGTCCGCAACCGTCTCGTCTTCATGGCAATCTTATTATCTTATATCAGTGTGTCATTCGTTCATTTGTTTTTCAATATAAAACCAGCAATAAGAAAACGAAAAAAAAAACAGTTTTCTTCTTTATTTGTCTCCAAAACCAAAATGAAAAAAACAGGTAACGATTCGTTTTTTCAGTTTTCGATTTTGTGTTTAAATGAATAACGGAAAAAACGGATAACGTTTCCCATTTCCGTGACTTCCGTGACTTTTGTGACTTTCGTGACTGCGATGCCGGAGTTTTGTGCTGCATTCGGATTGAACCATGACTGAATAAGGTCTAAAATAGGACTAAACCATTTTCAGTCCTGCTCTGGTCCCAGTCTCAGTCCTGGTCTCAGCCCCAGTCTCAATCCCAGTCTCAGTCCCGGTCTCAGTCCCGGTCTCTCTCCAGGTCTCACTCCAGGTCTCACTCCAGGTCTCAGTCCCTGTCTGGTCCTGCTCTCATTCCTAGTCTCAGTCCTGGTCTGGTCCCGGTCTAAGTCCTGGTCTCAGTCCCGGTCTGGTTCCGGTCTGGTCCCGGACCTGGTTTAGTCCTGGTTCAGTCTGTATGTGGTGCAAAAGTCCAGCAGTTAAAGTCACGTGAACGAGAAATGGCCATTATCCATTTTTTTTTTACCATTATTCATTTAAACACAAAATGTAAAACTGAAAAAGAAAAAAAAAAAATCATGACCTGTTTTTTCATTTTGGTTTTGGAGACAAATAATGAAAAAAACACCAGATTTTTTGTTTTTATATTGAAAAACGAATGAATGAATGATACACAGATTCTTATTGCTTTGCCTGAAATGTCCCATCGTATGGCATTAAGCTTATCTCTCTCTGTGAAGCCAAAAGGCCAAGTTACAGGTCAGATCTGCTGAGAGGCGACCCAGCTGAGAGTAAAAATGCATGATTTTCCAAGACAATAAAAACACTAGTAATCTCATACAAGGAAGTGGAATAACTTTAATGCCATACTGTGGAACAATCCCAACAAATCTCTAAAGTGTACCATTTTACCAAATTGTACCAAAAGTAAAATCTGTTTTGTCACAGTACAGACATGTTATATTCTAAAAGCAGTTCTTAAGGTCAAAATTAGACCACTGTGTACTGTCTGCATCTAATTATAAAAAGTAAATAAGTCCAGTAGGTCTGTCACGATAAATACAATATTGATCAATACATTATCGTTCAATACATAGCAGATGGAGAAATATTTTCTCTGAGTCACTATTTATCGTTTTTTACTTTTTGTACTATTACGATAAAATATGAGTTGTACAGGGTTGAATGAATCACTTCTATGACTCATTATAAATACACACGAACTACTAAAGAATTCTATCTGCTATCTATTTATTGCGGTTTGTTTTCAGAATAGTTTTTGGGAATAGTTCTGCTTTAGTGTTTTTGTGTCAGTGGACTCGTGCACATCCCGCTGGACTTAGACTCATTATAGTCAAAGCACACTGACCTCAGAGGAGTGTCAGAGCAGGTCCGGGTGAGGTGTGGGCTTGCGGAAAGAATCCATAAGAAGTCTATTTTTTGTAAAAATCAGGTGTACCTCTACTTAGTCTACTTACTCTATAATACTGTTACAAAAAAAAAAACACACACACACACATTTTAGATTCAAATGTGTAACGTTAATGATTCACATATACATATACACTATCAGTCAACAGTCTGGACTCATCTCGTTCAATGTTTTTTTTTTCAATATGTTTATTACTTTCTACCTTTGAAATGCATACAAAGGAAGTCAAATACATGAAGTAAGGTATATGGAATTATGTAGCAAAGGAAAAAAAGTGAAATAACGTTTGAAAAAAAAAAAAAGAAAATTGATTGAAAGAGTGTGTCCAAACCTTTGACTAGTCATGGATGTTGAAATTAGCCAGGCTGGCGTCACCTAGTACCTCCGCTCAATTTCATTTCTCTCTAGTGACAAGGTCAGGAATCAGAATACACTACACAGTTTGCAAGAACCCCAGAAGTTGTAGACTGCGCACCGGCCAATCAGCGAAGAGCTGTGAAGCCATGACATCAAACTCAAGTGCCTATCTGTGTCTCTTTTGTGGTCATACATTTTGTGTTGGCAACGATTCCGGAGATCGAGGATTTAAAGCCAGAACATAGAGAATGTTTAGTGAATTTTATCAACATTCTCTATGTTTTACCCTTCTTCCTACAGGATTTGGGAAAAGCTTAATACACCAGTTAGCCCTGCTAGTGACGCATTACATACATCACGACCAAATAGCAGCGATTGGTTAAATAAAAAAAGTACCTGCCTACTGTCGAGCGAAAGAATCCTAATGCTGTGAGGTCAGACGGTTTCCATGAAGTGAAACCAGCTGATGAAGCAGGCTATGTTTAAATAGCACCATCTACATTTTACATTTCATCAGATATTCTAAGTAAGATATATGGAATTATTTAGTAAAGGAAAAAAGTTGAGTTGTTTTACCCCTTAACACCTGAATTTATATAGATGTATATAAGAAATGTTTTGTGTATGTTTATTCCTCTAAGTAGATGGTAAATGAAGTAGAGATTGATTTGACTATAGCAAAAAAGTAAATAGAAATTTGAGTATGTTTGGGTATCTCGGCTGCATTCCCCCAGTACCGGTTAGTGCATACACAATACCTTCCTAGGAAACTTTGGCAAGCACTAACCGGCACTGGGGGAATGCAGCCGCTATCTCAGCTTGTATCTTGATCCAAGCGGTTTGTCACATATTTCTGACGCCCAGTGTTAAGTGGTTAACTTTTTTAACTTTTTTTTTTTATGTATTTGATGTCTTCTGAATGTAGAACTTAGTAAACATAGAAAAGAAGGATTGAATGGGAAGGTGTGTCCAAACTTTTGACTGGAAGTGTACATAGATCTGTACATTTTCCATCCGTGTAGGACACTGAATGACTCATATATTTCCCTTTTCTCTACCATTACAGAAGAAGCCCAGCAGGCGGGCATGGGCCTCCTGATCCACTGCCAGGCGGGCGTGTCACGGTCGGCCACCATCGTCATCGCGTACCTGATGAAGCACACCTGGATGACCATGACGGACGCCTACAAGTATGTCAAGACGCGCCGTCCCATCATCTCGCCCAACCTCAACTTCATGGGCCAACTGCTGGAGTTCGAAGAGGACCTCAACAACGGCATCACTCCGCGGATCCTAGCGCCAAAGCTAATGGGCGTAGAGACGATTGTTTAAAAATGAGGTTGCGTTCATGTGCTGGAGATTTGGAAGGGAAAAGTCAGAATAATGTTTGGGCTGTTTTTAAAATAAACATCCAAAACAAAAATGTACAAATGTTTATATTTTTATATTTTTCTACGGCGTATAATCACATCTGTGCGCTTTTGAATGCTAGGGATAAAACAATACATTTAAAGGAGCATAATGTAACTTTTCAGATAGAGGGTCCAAATATTATTGCTTGGTTTGAAATGTTCCTGTTGGCTTTAAACGTATCTCCATGGACACAAGCAAATGACATTACCAGACCAAGTTACAGGTCAGAGCTATGGACAGTTGATGCTACAATGTGGTATGCGTGTTTTTCAGGATGCTTTGGTAAATTAAATCATTTAATGCCATACTGTGGAACATAGCAGGCCAATTGATAATGTATCCATGGAGACAAAAAGATGGTGGACCCCTTCCAGATAAGTTACAGAGTGTGTTAGGCTACAAAAATACATTTAACTTTATGTTTCATGTGCAGAAGATCTAGAAATTTGAGATTTTAACCTTAAACCATTTACATTTTGAAAGCAAATATTCAGAATTCAACAAAAACAAGATTTTTAGAATGTCACGACGTCACATGAACGCAACCTATAATGTAAAAAAAAAAAAAGGCCCCCATACAAAAAAAATAAAATAGTCACATTCAAGACTTTGCAGATAACCCAAAGGAGGACGAAGTGGCTCAAGAAAATGGAGGAGAAAAACATTTGCCAAAAGATTTCAAAGGGCAATTACACTGACACAAAAAACTCTTTCTGGAGAGTCAGAACTAGGGCGGCCATGGCAGTGCCTGTCTAAAAACAAAAAATATATATGAGTACTTAATATCTGACGTGTGTATGTTGCTCTATTTTTATACAGGGGTCTATGGGGTCGACCAGCCCGAATTGTGGCTTTTACTGTGCAATAATTTTAAAAGAGTGGAATGCAACATATATCTGTATATATTGGTAACATTTACACAAGATGGCCGGCGTTTTGCTGGTGACATGTTTGGTTGTTGGAGTCGTTTTGGGGGGAATCGGTGGGTTAAAGGCTGCTTTCATAACTTGCATTTAAATCTGTTTTAATAAATTGAATTATAAAGTGCGTATAACAGGTTTCTATGATTCTCAAATGACTTTTTGATGGGATGATACCTGTTGTAAATAAAAATTGTAGTTTTACACAGTTTAAGAAGCAATTTGTGAAGAAAAGTTGAAAAATATGTGTATTTTTGAGAGTTCTCACACAAGGGAGGATTTTGCCCAAATGTTCGGCACAATTTACACTCAAGAAACTTTTTTTTTAGTGTATTTTAGGGATGTAACAATTCTCTCGATACAAAATTTTCACGATATGCATCCCACAGTATGATATTTTATGTAGGCCAACAAAATTGTGAATATGCTACTTTTCTCTCGTTATAATCCAAATAATGAAGATTTAAAAGTACTTAATAATCTTTATTTCAGCGTGTAGATTGGACTGAAACAGTGCAAAGGATCTGTCAAATAATAATTTCTGTGTAAATTAGAGGAGTTATGGCCTTGTTGCTAGGTAACAGTTACGAAATTCCCTAGCGTAATGTCATGATTTTTAACCAGGAAGTACAATTTTAAACCTAAAAAATGTGAAACTGGGCAATTTTTACATTTTCATTTGGTAAAATCTTAAATATAACAAACTTAACAATGTTTTAGTAAATTCAGACTGTTACAGGCACTTTAATTTTGATTCTAAGAGCAAAATTTTAATCTTTTTTTTTCTTGTCAGGTTGCATGTAGCATTAAAGATTGTGTTAAATACAAAATACAGAAGACTTTTTTTTTTTTTTATCTAGGTAGACAAAAATAGACAGTACATTCCCTTTAGTTTCTGTATTAATTTGAATAAAAATGATAAAAGATTGCATAACAGGTTTAAATGCAAGCTTTGAAGGCGTCTTACTGTTAGCTTGTTTTATCCATAATACAAAACACTTTCTCGCAGCTTATGCTTTGTCAACTGTTTTGATTTTTATCTAATTTTATTCACAAAATTTAGGCAATGACATCTTTTTTTTTTACCCATGGATGCTTTACTGTTTTTGCCAGTTCTTACAGATATTACAAACACATTTAGCAATAGCACATATAGCGTAAACACACAACCATACAGCCATACAAGCTTTACTATGCATGGCTGTTAGCAAACGAAAGCAGGCTACGCTTTGAATTATGGATATTTTTAGCAGGGCTATCAATTCTTTATTTGTTTTCATGGTGTAATTTTTATTTTGTTTCCTTTTTTCTCGCAAAATCGCGCGTAAATACAAATTCTAATGCTATCTCTTTATTAGCTCAATGCCCGAAATGCTAATGCTAAGTATGCTAATGCTAAGCTAAGTCAAACAAAACAGTTTAGTTCATTATATTTCACTGACAGAGTAACCTATAATTTGGACAAAAAGTTGCTTATTTTTTTACACTGTTGACTCAAAATATAATTCATAAGTCCCCAAGTTTAGCTTAAAGGTGTATTGAGTAACTTTTCTGGCGGATAGTTCGTCAAAAGCTTTTTTAATGGAAATGTTATCGCTTCATCTGGAAAGTTTCACAGTGAGATTAAACCTTTCTATCTTCATGGAGACCAAACCAGACCAAGTTACAGGTCAGATCTGTGAAGTGGCGACCTCACTCGCTGTCAGAATGCCTGTTTTTGTTTTGTTTTTTGGCATTTTTGAGCAGTAAAACCACCTGTAATTGAATAAATGTAAAGGTAGAGCTATTTAATTTCTCACTGTGGAGCATTCCAGGCAGAGCGATGACATATCCATAGAAATCAGAAGGTGACAGACCCCCCAGTGAAAAAGTTACACAGTGCAGCTTTAGTTTTTCCACCCACCTGATCATTATTATTCTGTTGTGTTTTTCTTGTATTTGGTGCTGCCACATGCTGCTAGTGCCTCTATCCAGCGCTCTGAATTCTATGGCACTATCGAGTCACTCTACAGATACAGAGACCGTGACCAACCCTGAGTAGAATGCAGAAATTAAAGAGCATTTAATGTAGCCGCGCGGTTAGTAAGTGATTTGCTGAGCTAGGCATGGGAAGCTGCCAGAAAGCCCGGAGGTACAGTGTCCATTATGCAACGCTGGTCCCATGGTGCGTTTGAAGCTCGACCGAGAATTACAAATCAAGTCTAGAAGACATGCACTATGGTTTGGCATGTCATTAAAATGTAAGACGAATAAGAAGAATAGAAGAATTAAGATAAAATTGTTATACTGAATCACATTTTTTAAGATTTACCAAGATAATTTAGTTTTTAATTTTGAGTAATCCTTTATGAGATTATTTCCTTCTGAAAGATAAAAGTTAAACATTAGGGGTGTAACGGTACACAAAAATCACGGTTTAGTACGTACCTAGGTTTTGAGGTCACGATTCGGTTAATTTTCGGTACAGTATGTGAACAAAATGCAAAACCATTTACTTGTTGTTTATTTGTGTTTTTATTAAAGTAACAATTTATTTTAACATTATACAAACGGACAATAAAATAAATGCAAAGTGCTGCTTGGTAATACTAATAAGTTAAATAAAATATTGTCAGATAAGCAACAAATGTGTGAAGTATTATACAAAATAAATTCCTTGTAAACAGTCAACAAAACTTTTCAATAAGTAAAGTGCTGCACTAACAGTTCCAGCATGAAGTTTTACTCAATCTTCATATTTTTGGCCAGAAAAACCAACTTGTCCACATTGTCTGCAGTAAGTGCAAATCTGCTGCAGTTACAACGTCCCCAGAGGCTGAAAATACACTTTCACTCGGGACAGAGGTCGCGGGTATGGGAGGGGTGGGGGCAAAAGGTGAAAAGCGAGGACCAGGACGCGACCAACATAGATTTGCGAGGATTCACGTGGTTCGGAGGGATGTAGTCAAGGCGAGGGACAATTGTTGTCAAAGCGGACACCCTAACTATAAAGCTCTGCGGGAAACACTGTCCCAATCACAGACGAATTCCCTAGTAAATATTAAAGAGCCAAGCCTTCTGTGTAGCTGCTCATGTAGTGGCTGAATGTAAACACACAGAAACTGCGCAAACTCACTCGTGCACCGCCCTGCACCAAACCGAATGTCCTGTACCAAAACAGTTCAGCATGAATACATGTACCATTACACCCCTATAAACAGTCAATATAAGAAACTGACTCCAATTCAAAACTCAGAACATAGGATTCATTATGATCATCCTTCCTTTCGCTACAAAACACTTATCTCCCCGTAAGTATGTTGACAATATAGCCACGCTGCTAATTTGTACTTTCAAAAGGTTTCAGTCCCAACTGTGGCCAGCAGAGGGCATTACACACCTTATCCAAGTATTCTAGATGGAACTAAAATCACTGGTGCTGATTAACAATACATTCACCTTAAAAGTATTCAGTATATTTTAGTTTACGAAGTCATAATCCATCTAATTATAATGACCGGGGAAGTACATGTGGTGCGCTGTTAGCTTGCTAGTTGTTGGTAGCATTACAGAGGCCAGTACTGCATCTGTACATCTGAAAGGTGGTGAATAAAAGATGCTAGGAAGGCAATAGAAACGTGAGGTTGGACTGCTGCAAACTATTTCAAATGTTTTCACGTGTTTTTAAGTTTTAAAAATCCAATACCGAACCTTTAAAGGCTCCCGAAAATGTTAACTATGGGAGCTTTGAACACAGGTAAAAACGTGTACTTAGTTTATCCATTCAGTGCAACTCCTCGCTATGCAATTCAAATATAGCAGGCTCTTTTCTTGATACCATGTGACTGTTTCGTTATAGAAGAATGATTTTTTGCAGTTTGCTCTTTTGAATTTCAAAGTGCTAATGTCGTGTTTAGTTCTTGCTGTTTATCTTGCTGTCTCACCTGGTGCTCCACAATATTCATGCACATTTGTAGGTTGTGATTAACATTTGTTCGGTGACAAAAGACAGAAAAGAGGCTGTGTTTTAAAATAAGAAATTGTGTGTGGTCAATGGGTTTCTCTGTAAAGGTCTAACAATGTTGTCTTGTATAGGACTGGAGGCAGGTTCGTGTGCTTTTGGCCTATGAGGGTCACCGGCCATTACTGCACTGCTGGATCTATTACTGCTGTGAAATATTTGGGGTTTTGTGCAGAGATTTTGAAAAAAAATGTACAAATGTCAGAGAAAATTACTAAAAAACTGATACATATTCTGTTAAAAAGTTGTGCTTTAACTTTGACCTGAGTTTTGACTTGCAGGCTTACTTGCCAACAACAAAAACCAAATGTGCAATGGACAGAAATAAAACTATCAAGGTTGAGTCAGAACTGTTAAACTAGAGCAAAAAATAGGGATAAAATAACACAATATTGAGCTGAATTATACCATTGGGAATAATACCTGTCATGCCATTTGGATTAACTGTTTTAGAGCCTGTAAGTCGTAACTTTGGGCTAAAACTTACATAACTATAATTTAAAATCTGTATGTAGAACTGGTTTTATGCCATTTGAATATTATCTAATCTTTTTATCATCCGAAACATGCACAATTCTCATTATGGATTTCTGCAGTAATAACCCAAATTGCAGAGGTCAAAGTAACACAGTAAGCATATATTCTATTTTCTTTGTATGCATATAATATTGTTGACTATTTTTGCACTGACTATATGGACAAAAGGATTTATTTTTTCCACAAAAGGTGCTATTATATCGGAGGCCTTCTCCCACACCTTTTTGCATGAATGCTCAAAAGAGAACCCTGGAAAAGGACTGGCGTCTCTTCTCCTTCTACAACTACTTCTACTTCTACTCCTCCAAATGTTGCCAAAACGAAGCACTGTACTTTTGTAACTTCAACTTGTGAGCTTTGAAATAAACAGGCTTCAAGTTTGGGTTGGTCTCCAGATCTGTTTTTTCTTCCTGTTTCAGTGATACATTTGTGATGGTTGTTGAGCGTGAGCAGTGGTGAAATACATTTAGATTAAAGGTGCATTATGTAATTTTTCTGATGGAGTGTCCACTACTTATCTCAATAGAGAGGTTAGCAGATGATGCCAGGCCAGGAAACTTCACAGTAAACATTTTCAACCCCAGAAACTCAATAAATGTAACACTGGCTGTGGTTACATGCACACACTTTTGGAGTTATAAGACTATTAAAGTTACATTTCTTTTCATCATGGTCCCTTTGATTACTCACATCTGATTTTGTGGTTTGCATTTCATTATATAATCTTAAATGTCAGATTTCAGCATGCATGTGAACATAGCAGTGATAAATCTAATGTCATACTTTGGAAAATTCCATACAAAGTAATAATATCTCCAAGAGACAAACCAGGTGCTGGACCCTCACTGGAAAAATTCAAAAGTGCACCTGTAATGCCAACTTTATCCAGTCTAATCCAACTTTATTTGTATAGCACATTTTATAAACAAGACAGTTTCCAAAGTGCTTTACATAGCAATGTAAAATATTTAATATTTAAAAAAAAATATATAATAAAAAATTATGTTTGCACCATGAGGAAACTAATAGAATAAATAAATAAAATAATAATCATTAAATCTATTAACAAAAATAATAAAATAAATAATTAAAAGCAGTACTAAAATAAATAAATAAATAAAAAATTATAAATAAAATAAATAAATAAATAAAAGTCACAGAGTACCACACAACTCATGAGATATTAAAAGCCAGAGAATAAAAGTGGGTTTTAAGACGACACTGAAAACTCTCCCCTGTGGGGCTGTTCGGATGTGGACAGGCAGAGCGCTCCAGAGTTTGGGGCGTTTTCTTGAAATCAACTCAACCTCAAGTTGATTAGATTTGTAAATATGACAATTAAATACCTCTACTTCACCAGAACAGCATTTTAATACAATACAATACATTTCCGGGCAAGTAAGTTTAAGTATAAGTTACAATATAATACAATTCTTCTAGAGTCACATTATTGGTAGAAAGTCTGCCACCTGTTTGTCTCCATGGAGATGTTATAGCTTTGCCTTGAATATTTCACTGTACAGGAACAATAAAATGATTCATGCCCATGGGTAGAAGCAGGTAATGCCACATGGAAAAGTTACAAGACATATCTGTGGAGAGACGAGCCTGCTGACAGTAAGAATACATGTTTTTTAAGACACTTTAAGCAAAAAAATACCTGTAACTGTATATAATAAATGCAAGGAGGACAGAGTTTTAAGTTTAATACATTACAGACAAACCATTTGCAAAAGATGCGCTGGTGATGTCGTAACTGTAAAAAAAATCTGTAAACATAACTTTCTGTTGTTGTCTGTCATATCCTAACCCCAGCCGCCCCTCCAGTCTCCTACATACAAACTTAACACATACAGCCCAGCAATCCGCTCTGTGTCCTACACGTGTTTGGGGACTATATTTACTCTTCACTTCAGTGTCTGGGGATAGTCTGTTATGAAGGGTCATGATCTCCCCCATTGGAGCGGGCCCGGAATAGCAGCGTTTAGTGTTGTTTCTAATTGGGAGTGATGAGTGGTAGGTCATATCCACGCTCTAGCTCCTATCAGCAGTGTGCATGCGGGCTGGGGGACAGGAATAGACCGGCTCTGCTCCGAGCTTCATACATGGACGTATTAGGGAAAGAGGAGAAGAGGAGAGCGCTCAGACTGTGGACATTGTAACATCATCACGGGGCAGGGAGGGGCCGGGGAGGGGTTATCGAGGGGGGAGTCAGTAGCAAAAAAGTAGGCAGTGGGGTCATAAGACTAAAACCAGTGTTATCTTACTTGTGTTTCTTTAATTCTGTTTGCAAAATATACTATTGTTACTGTTTTATATTACTAAATCACCTTGTTAAAGTTATTTCTATGTAAGAATAAAACAGACCTGGGCATTGTACAGCTCCTGGGCCACAAACGACCCTTTGGTTGACTGGCCCATTTAAGATAATTTGGAATTACAAAATAAACATATTTTATACTTTTATCTCATGCATGGACTAAAGCTGCATTGATTTTGTTTTAGAGATTTTTTTTTGTAAGGCAACCTCATAACATATATTCTTACTAATCTTACCAGCTTGTCAAATCAATGCTATTTACTGCTTTTTTAAATAAAGAAATACAATTAATATTATGCAGAATTGAGTTAAGCATTTTGGCCCGGCCAGCCACAATATGTTCAATTTCTCATGTGGCCCCATAGAAAAAATAATTGCCCAGGCTTAAAAGTCCAGTCTCAGTCTCAGTCTCGGTCTCAGTCCTGGTCTGATCCTGGTCTCAGTCCTGATCAGCCGACAGTCTACGCGGGTGCACCTCTGGGTCCGTCCCGACACTCAGTCCTGGTTCAGTCCTGGTTCAGTCCTGGTTTAGACCTGGTTAAGTCCTAGTTTAGTCCTGGTTCAGTCTTGGTTCAGTCCGTATGCGGCACAAAAGTTCAGCATTGCGGCATTTTTTCAGTGAAAACGTGACAAATATTGTCAACAATCATCCCGCTTTGTGAACGCAAGTTTAGTAATCCAGCAAGCTCTGTTAGCATCATATAAGGTGGCATAACAAATAGCAGAGGAGCTGATACTGCCGAACTATAACATGGACATAATTTTTAAAGACAAGGAGGACACAGGAGAGGACCGCCTCATGACGCAGGTGAGTGCAGTGCAGGATACGGACGGACACATGCTGTGTGCGTGTCTTTGGAGACACGACTAAAATGTTTGCTCTCGTATGTAGGCGACTGAAAGCAAGGGTGCGATTTGTCCAAGTTTGGTAGTGGTTCTGTAGCCAACCTGGCGCCACCTGGTGCCTCTGCCCAATTTCATTTCTCTCCAATGACTAAGTCAGGAATGAAAATACACTCGACAGTTCACAAAAACCTTGAAAGTGGGGGTTCGGGCACCAGCCCATCAGCGAAGAGCCATATTCTGTGTTGGCAACAATTCCCGAGATCAAGGATTTAAAGCCAGAATAAAGAGAATGTTTGGTGAATTTTATCAAGGGGAAAGACATTATTGCCCTTCTTCCTATGAGATTTGGGAAAAACTTAATATACCAGTTAGCCTTACATTACATACCACATGACCAAATAGCAGTGATTGGTTAAATAGTAACCTGCCTACCGTCAAGCAAATGAATTCTAACACTGCGAGGTCAGACGTTTCAATGAAGTGAAACTGGCCAATGAATCAGGCTAGTGCTTCTGAGGACAAGGACGCGAAATGTTTTCTTCTTCCTAGGAGAGACATGATAGAAAATAAGTGAGACTGAGCACTGATGTACATACACAGTCTACAGTCTGCACTTTTAATTTAATGATTTTGAAATTTCATTTTCATTATTTTACAAACGCTGTACATGAGAACTGAATGAACCACCACTGTTCATACCAGCTCATCCTTTCTTCCCACAGACACAGGGCGCTCTGAGGTCACGGCCTTCACCCCACGTCCCTCCACAGAGACGCAGCCCGGAGCAGGTGTCCAGCGCTGACAGCCCCCAAAGCTCCATCTGAGAAAAGACTGTAGCAGAGACGGGCGAGCGAACAGCAGCAGAACAATGAGGGGAGAGAGAGGAAGAGAGATCATATCAAACTCTGCTGCCTCTGCAAAGATAACAACCAGAGCTATCTTCTCCAATCTGCTGCGTGGTAGTGCCGCCGAGCATGCTGGGTAATTTCTAAAGAGCAGCGTCTTGCGGGGAGGCGGAGGTGCAGGCCAGGACTCAGCGTGCACACTCCCCACCATATGTCCAAGCACATTTTAGGACACAGGATGGAGAAAAACATGTTATGACATAGATAAAAGTGACCCTAAAACTGAAATAACTGTTTATCGCTTTCATATTAAACAAGGACATTTCATTAAGTATTAAAACAAAGCAGTGTAGAGCAACAAACTAATCTCAACAAAAAGCAGTTATTTTGGTACTCTACTTACTAAAATATATTATTTTAAAGGTCCCATAGTACACAAAACTGACTCTTGTGAGCTTTAAGTTGTGTTTGAACTTTGTTACCTCCTCTAAAACATACCTGGAGTTGTGTTTTGTTTCACTGACACATTTGGAAATAGGTCACATTTTTATATTTGGCCACATTTTTGTATTTGGTCACATTTTTTGTATTTGGTCACATTTTTATATTTGGTCACATTTTTTGTATTTGGTCACATTTTTATATTTGGTCACATTTTTGTATTTGGTCACATTTTCACATTTTTATATTTGGTCACATTTTTGTATTTTGTATTTGGTCACATTTTTATATTTGGTCACATTTTTATTTAGCACTTTTCCACCTTCAAGGCACTCAAAGCGCTTTACAACAAGGAACCACTCACCCAATCACAAATACACATTCATACACCAATGTACATAGATGCTGGGGGGTGAGGAGGGTTAAGTGTCTTGCCCAAGGACACAACAACAGCATTCATCACGTGGTTAGTGACGGCATATCAGAAACGTTTAAAAAGAGTTTGAGGAAATGATAATGTTTGATAATCATTCAACTGTGGATGTTTCATTGTATTTTAATCCATGTTTAAATCAAATTAATTGAATCCAATAATGTGTAAATGTTTTGTTTTTTTATAATACTGTCCAATTTTTAATGTATTCATAAGGTGAAGGCTTTAATATATGCCCATTTGTTGTTGTTTTTTGCCTCATCCAGCACCTACTTTTTTATGTTATATACGTGCAAAATAAATAAATAAATGAAAAATAAAATAAAAAATCAATCTGTGGGAGTTGGAATCACATCGCCAACCTGTGGTGCAGTGGATCTGACTGCTAAACCAATTATATTTATGTCGAAAGCAGAATTCGAACTAACTGAGCTGTTGCCACCCCATTTGAGCAACCCTGCAGTCTGTCTATATCTCCAAAGCTCAAAATGCTCTGT